CATTGCTTCAGAGCTGACAGACCATCTTTTATTTGTAATAAAGGATTCTGAATCAGCAAAATGAATTGAAAATCATGGAAGAAGGATACTCAGTAAACTCTGCTTTCAAATTAATTTGTTGACACTTACCCACTTATTCATTTGTCCAACATAAAACTATCATGTACATATCGTGCAAAATGGCAGGTTAAAAGAGCACATATCCTGGGAGACAGATATACGTAGCTAAAGGCTGGAAGAATAAAGTGCTCCAATGCTAAAAGCAGTGATATGACCAAGACGCTATGGGAAAGCAGAAGAGACAGCATTAAGGACACCTGGTAAAGAGCCAAAAGAACCATGACAGAGTTGCCTTTTGAGCTGGGTCAGCTGATAGAAGTTTAAGAAACAGAGGTGAAGAGGGAAGGAGTCATAGGAGAGTGGGAAGTGATGGTGAGAACAGAATTTACTGCTGGATGGGGAAGCAAAGTGAGTAAATGCATGGAATGACAAAATGGCATGGTATATTCTGGAAAAAGTTAGTCCAGAATTGGCTAGAACAACTTTCATGTATAAAATATGGCTGCAGACACTATTAAGAAAGTTATCCGGGGACAAATCATGTAAAGAACATGAAATCCAAATTAAGTAGAATATGCTCTTGTAGCTTGAACATGACTCATAAAAGAACTAGACTTGTTGCTTTAATCCATCACGGTAACACTATCTCGATTACACATTTGAATGAGTGTCAGTTCATGAGGTCATGGGATGTGTTTCTGGTTCACAGTGTACCCTCGGTGCTTGGCACAATGCAGGTTATAGGTATCAGAAATGTCTTGAATGATCATTGAATGAGTTAGTGATATGAAAGGCTGTCTTAGGCCACCTGCCACACTGAACATGTTCCTCTTAAAAAGACATTCCAAACTGTGAGTTTTGAGTCATTAATAACAAACCAGTTTGATGTAACGTAGGAGCAGGATTTTGTAGAGAAAAACCACAGTAAAGCAGTTAAATAGTTTCAGTCATAAGACGAGGAGAAAGTCAGTGATGTGTATTATTAAATTTTGTTTCTCCTGCCCCTGTGAAGAAAAAAATAGCAAAGAGGCCTAAATATATTTTAGAAATCAAAAAGCTGCTGAAATAAAAAGTAGCATTTTGATTCCTCAGAGAGCCTGTGGAAAATATGTTAGTTTGTGAAATACTCTTTTTAGAAATTTGACAAATGAACTGCAATAGATTTGGCAAGAGAGTTTAAGGATGTCTTATTTATTTTTATGCCGAATAGATAATTCTCAGAGCTCCATATGTTTGTTTCAGCACAATAAAGCAAACATATGAGCAAACAAATAAAAAAATACATTACTGCTTCTTGGTGGCAAAATCTCGATATTCCAGACAAGTTGTTAGATCCAAATGTGTAAAATCGGTTTCAAAGTTTTCAAGCACTCTCTCATGGTGGTTAATAAACCTCTATGAAAAAATAAGTACTATTTTTGTTTTTAATAGCAAACGAGTGGACTTA